CTTTTCTTGTGGCTAATTCATTGTCCCAGCCTGAGCTTCCCTCCCATCCTGTATCCTTGCATTCATATTGAGCAGGGACTCAAAGAGTTTACATTTAATATTATTGTAATTGGTGCTCTTAGGAAATTGCTAGGGATCCCACAATTGGAGATGTTATATTCTTTCCTTTTAAGTTCTCATGCTGGGAGCATAGCCATGCTGGGCAGATGTGTTTGTTTGGCAGCTAGTGATCTCCCGAAGCCAACAGAGAATGGACATTGCTGTCGGCACGTGCATTGCTGTGTTCACAGATGTGTGTCATGGTCGTTCATGCCAGAGTCTGTGTAGCTAATGTAGCTGGTCCCTACAAGTAGTTTAGGCTGTGGAGGTAGTAACTGAATGAGTGGCCCCTCTACAGAGTCTCCCTCTAGCACGGGTCTTCCCATTGCTGCCTACCCTCTGCCAGAGAGGCTTGACATGTCTTATCCACCCCTTTCCTTCTACTCCAAGGCTGCAGGAGCCATTCATTTCACAGTGTCAAATGACCCAAAGATCACAAATGGCTGCCTCCTTTGTCTCTTCATTTCCTTTGCTGCCATTTCAAGAATAGCCACCCCAGACTTCCTTTCTGCCCTCAGATGTATCAAGGGATCATGTGTTCCTTCTCCCAGAGGATCCAAACAGAAGAAGTAGCTTGTCTGGTGTAATTTTACCAACCAGAAATAAGGCCAGAAAATGTATCTTCTTGACCCTATTGTCCCCACCCCACCTACCAGACCTGTGATACAAAATTTCCTAGGGTAGTCTTGGCCACTCCTGCTGCCTGTTTGCCAGGATAAGGATTCATTCCTGGAAGCTTATGAGGACATAGTCTTCTATAAACATTCTCCAAATTCTGTTTCCTGACTCAGAATTGAGGTTTCCTGACCTTACACATTCAACATATTTCTGAAAGTTTCAGTGTCTGTCCCAGATGATTTGAACTTTTGAGTGTCTAACAGGATATCAACACAAAAGTCTGCCTGCTCTATAAAATGAAATAACCCTCACTCTCTCAGATGCTGTGCTTGGGGGTTGGGACCAAAGCTCAACTGGTAAAAAGTGAAAAAGAGGACTTCAGATCAGTCTCTAGAACTTGCATTTGGAAACTGGACGTGGCATATGCTGGAAAATCTCAGTGCTGGGGAGGCAGAGACAGGCAGGTCCTTAGGGTTCATTGGCCAGCCAGAAAGCCTCAGGTTCAGCAATGTGTTTCAGAAGACTAGGAAAACCAAGGAATGACACCCGAGATTGAGTTCTGGCCTCTACACAGATGCACACAAGTGCATACACACCACACACACACACACACACACACACACACACACACACACACACACAGAAAAGTTCCACTTGGTTGGAGACACCTAGAACATTAATCCACTATGGCTGTAAAAGTGCTTAATGACAGAAATATCGACATAAACTTCTGGGGCTTTCATACCACTTCACTGGGGGTATTAAAGAAATAAGAATCATGGCGCTCATTACTTTTCTCATTGTCGTGACAAAATGCCTGAGAAAAGCAACTTAAGAAAGGGGTCATCTTGGCTCATAGCTTGAGAGGCTACGGGCCATCATGGTGGGGGAAACAGCAGTGGGAGTGGGAAGCCGTTGTCACTTTTGACCTGCAGTCAGGTAGCAGAGAGATGAATTCAGGTGCCCAGCTCTCCTTAGCCTTCTTATTAGTCTAGGGACCTTCCTCATGCTGCCACTCACACTCAGGGCAGTTGTGGTTCTCCTCAGTTCATTCTCCCTGGCATGCTCAGAGGTGTGTCTCCTAGGTGATCCCAAATACAGTCACACTGGTCATGAAGATCCGCCCTCACACTCATCACTGATATTAACGTCTTCAGCCTGACTGCTGAAGAGGTAGACGTAGAGACTCAAGGCCACATGGAGCAGAGACTGGATCGGGAATCCATAGTTCTAAGTGCTTCCAGTGCTGTGACCCTGGAGGAATCTCTTCACCTCTTTAATTTTTTTCCTTTGGTGTAAAAACCAAATTCCTATCACAAAGGGCATGGAAACTGGAGAGATGAGTCAGCAGTTAAGAGCACTTCCTGCTCTTACAGAGGACCTGAGTTCCATTCCCAGCACCCACTTGTCAATCATAACTCATGACCATCTGTAACTCCAGATCCAGAGTACAGGACACCCTCTTTTTGCCTCTGAGGGCATCCACACACTTGCTATGCACTCATACAGATGTACATGTATACATACAATGGATACTAAGTGACATATATGTGGAAATGGAGCCAGCAAGTATGGAAACTCTAAAACCCTGAACAAATGTAAGGTTTTGAGAAAGTAAATAAATTTTATAGCCAATAGAATAAAAAAAAAATCAACATTTTGATTCTAACCAGATGGCTTATTCATATCTTTGTTTGGCTCTTCCTGCATCAAGTGTTTTACTTACTATTACTTTTTACATTGCCCTGGGGGAAAAAGTAAAGCACACACAGTTGTTTTTCTTGCCAGGTTCAACAAGTACTTTTCTGACATATTAACCATCTCTAATCAAGGGAGCAATCGCGTTAGGCCAGCCAGCATGAGAACTGGCCATACAGACAAGAAGCTTTACATGCCCTTGGCTGTATATTCCTCGAAGTCCACCATGCCTACCTTGTGTAGGCCAGGTCACAAGTGGACATCTTAAGGTTCTTCTGCTGTGTGTTGTCTTCTTGTTCACAGCTGTAACAGAATAACAAAGGCTGATAATTATAAACTGAAGTATATTTGGCTTGGGATTCTGTAAGCTGGGAAGTACATGGTTAAATGGTGAGGGCCTTCTTGCCACATCCTAACATGGAGGAAACCTCATATGGTTAACTTCCCATAAAATAAGTACCACTGTCCTAGAGCCCGGACTGGTAACTGTTATCCATACAGGCCAAATCTGCCTACTGCTTATTTATAAATAAAATTTTGTTGTTTTTGTTTGGTTTGGCTTGGGTTGTTTGTCCCTTCCTCTCCCAGACAGGGTTTCTCTATGTTTATCTCTGGCTATCCTGGAACTCTCTTTGTAGATTAGGCTAGCCTGGAACTCACAGAGATATATTTGCCTCTGTCTAGACAGTGCTGAGATTAATGGTTTGCACAACCATACCCTGCTTGTAAATAAAGTTTTATTGTCCATTAATTTACATATCAAGCATGACTTCTCTCCTTCTCCCATCACAGAGTTGGATAGTTGTGATAGGCAGCATTGGTGCACAAAGCCATTGAGTTGGCCAAACCCTATCTAAGAGCTGTTTACTCCAGCCACTCTAACAGGTCGACATGAGCTCTTGTGCTCTCTGGTGCTGTTCTGCTGTGTGGAGAAAGATCTTTTGTTGTCTTGCTCTGTTCCTCTGGTTATGGTTCCCTGAGGGCAGGCCTAAAGATGGCTATGTGTGTACCCAGTCCAGTTGAGTATTCTCGGGGAAGGTAGAGGAGAGCCACCCTGCGATAGCCCTGTGTTTGCTCAGTCATGGGACCCTAGAGGCTCTGGTCTTAGGGCACCTTGTGGACCACCTGGAGGGCCTGGGAGCACACCAGAGAGAAACATTGAACCCAGCATGAGGGAAGGGGTTGTGAGGAGTCTTCCTGCATGGGTCTTGGAGGATGGACCAGGCAATGGAAAAGGGTTCAGCTCATGGAAAGGCCTAGAAGGAAGAAGTGGCATGGAGAATGGATGCTTCTCACAAATGTCTCTGTGTGATTCATGCTTCAGAGGTGACTACTCTGCTGTCTCCCATGGAGTCTGGACTCCAGAGAATGTGGGGCCAGCTGCAACTCTGCACATTTATGAGTTGTTTATTCTATGTCAAGTTTTGTTTTGTTTTGTTGAGACAGATTCCTCTTGAACTTCTAATCCTCCTGCACTAGCACCCTCGAGAGCTGAGACTGCAGGCTTATCCTATGGCTCAACTTCCTAAGCTTCTTGTGTAGAAGAAGTGTTTCCTGCTTTGGAATCTGAGCTGTACAGGTTAAAGGCCAGATTTCATGGCAGACATAGACTTTCTCTAAAGGGGAAACATCCAGAAGCTGGTGGGTGCTTCCTGGTTTTTGGTCCCTAAATTCTTTGGCTTGGACTTAGTGTAGATCACAGGAAGTTTGAGAGGGTAAAAGAAGAATTTGAGATGAACTTAAAATGCCTTAGAACAAATTCCAGGGCCATCCATCAGTGGAAACATAGTTGAACAAATGTGGCTGTTCTATACAATGCAGTTATTTAGCTATTGAAGGGAAGGAAGGATTGGTGGGCAACCACAGTGAGGATGGGCCTGAAAGACCTGCTGAGGAAGCCAGATGTGGGTCACATGTCCTATGATTCCATTTCTATGAAATATACAAAATGAGAAAGTCCACACAAGGATGGAGACTGGGAACTTCCAGAGTGGGGAGGAAGGAGACATGGCAGCATCTACTCACTAGGCATGGGATTTCCTTTAAGGGTGAGGAAAATGGTTCAGACATAAACAACCATCATAGCTAGGCATCACTGTGGATGTGCCAAATGCCACTGAATTGTTCATTTAAAGTATTTCATTTTATGTTATATCTGTTTTGCCTTAGTTTTTAAAAGTTAAAGACAGGATTTTACTATATAGACCATGCTGACTTTGAAATCACAGAGGTCCTCCTGTTTCTATCTCCCAGGTGCTGGGATTTAAGGCATGTACCACCATGCATGGCATGAGGGATTTTTTTTTTCTCATTAAGTTATTATGTTTTTTTGAGGGGAGAGGACAAGGTCAAGCTAATCATGATCTCACAGAGCTGAAGATGACCTTGAACTTCTGAGTCCAGGGCTTGTTGCATGCTGTGCAAGCATTACCAACTGAGCTGCATCCTTGGCTCTCATAATTGTGTCTTAAACTTGAAAAGAAAAATGAATAAAAAGTCAGTGGTGATGTGCCAAGTCTGACAAGTGGCTTTTTGGAATACCATGTATATCTCAACTGACACTCAGCTTTGCTTGTCATTGACAGAGGTGGGGAAAACACGGTGTCAACTGGAGCGAGAGCACATCCTTGGAGCATCAGGGGCGGCAGATGCCCAGCAGCCCAGGCTGCTAGGGATGTATGTACCCCAGTGTGATGAGTATGGACACTATGAACCCACCCAGTGCCACCATGGCACTGGCTACTGCTGGTGTGTGGACCGTGATGGTCGGGAGCTGGAGGGTACCCGTACCCGGCCTGGGATGATGCCCCCATGTAAGTGGACAGCTGTCATGTAGTCTTGAAGACCAGAATGACCTGTATTAGCGGATGCTCTGCTACCAACCCTTTACCTGTCACCTTTCGCCATCTTCCCTGACTCTGTCCAGTACATGCTCTTCCATCTCTGGGTATACATGTGCTCTGTGAACATTCTCAGTAGGGCCTGTGGCAGACACAGCGTGGCAAGGCTTTGGACCACTGGGCTTTGTGATAGAACAGAGATGCTGTGGTCCTTTGGTTCTCCCCAAAGCCTTGCTTACTCTAGTGGAGATATCTGTTTTTGTCTTTTCAATACATGTTCCTATACAGTTAGGCCCTTGTGTGTGTGTGTGTGTGTGTGTGTGTGTGTGTGTGTGTGTGTGTGTGTATATATATATATATATGCCCCAGTCATTTTTTTTTTTTCTTCTTTTCCTCTGAGGCAGGATCTCATGTTGGGGGCTGGTCTTTAATAGACAGCATAGCTGTGTTATCCAAAGATTAACTTGAATTTCTGTCCCCTTCCTTTGTCTAAGTGCTGGAATTATAAGTGTGCCTCACATCTAGTCAGCTCTCCATTTAGATAGCTAAAGAGAAGCCCAGACAGGCACATGCACTATGTGCACAATAGAAAGACAGATACCTGGCCAGCCTATGGCATGGGCTGTGCCAGCCCTCTCCTTCCCCTGCTCATGGGAGTTCCTTTGCTGAGGAAGTCAGGGAGGCAGCCAGGGTGAAGGTTAGGAAGTCAGAACAAGTCAAGGAGGCCAGGCCACATCAAAGGATTGATGAGCCTCTGGCTAGCCTGTTGGTCTTAAGAACCTAGGTGGACATGTTTCTGTTTGTGAGGTTGGAGGATGCTCCATTCCATAGCAATGGACAGGGTGTGACAGCTCTCACTGATAGCTTTCTCCATCCAGTGTTACAGATGTCACTCCCTGCAAGGCAGAAGTGTCAGAGCTGTTGCTCCCAGCACTGCTTTGGCTCTCACACCAGCCCAGCATCCAGCCAAACACACATAACCAAGTCATTATATAAGAGGGAGCAAGGCTGCCTCTTTACTCTGGACCTGTAATGCTAAACTCATGTTCTGTCCAGTTTTCTTCACAAATGCCCTTTGACTGGCTGAAGAAGGCTTTCTGCCTCTGCAGTTTTCAGACAGAAAATGGACATTGTGTGACGGGCTGTGTTGTTTGCATACATTAAATGTGGCAAAGTCCTGGGATATGGGTGGTATGTAGATGTGTGCATGAGCACACATACACACATTCATATGAATATATGCACATGTTTATGTACATATGTGCTCTCACTTGGATTCATCTGCATATCTGAGCATTAGAATGCAACTGTGTATTTCTGGCATGTATACTCATTCATTGACCATCTCTTGCCCTCTAGGTCTGAGTACGGTGGCTCCCCCTATTCACCAGAGACCTGTAGTACCAACAGCCGTCATCCCCCTGCCGCCAGGGACTCACTTACTCTTTGCCCAGACCGGGAAGATTGAGCGCCTCCCCCTGGAGGGAAACACCATGAAGAAGACAGCAGCCAAGACCTTTCTCCATATCCCTGTGAGTATCAGCTGACTAGCCTTGATGACAGTCCCAGCTCTAGGGACGTGGCTACATAGTTAATGGCTATATATAATATAGTAGTATAATGTAATAACAAGATAATTAATATAGTATAACACAATATAATGTAATGCTAATATGGTTAATGGCTATGTTAATATAAAATGTAATATAGCATAACACCAAGATAATCTAAGACACTATAATATCAACATAGTTAATAGCTAAATATACTATAATATATATTATCACATGATGTCAATATAGTATAACACACTACACTATAATACTAAGATAGGTAATAGCTATGTGTAATATAATATGATACCAATAGTAGTTACATTTGTAATCTAACATAATACCAATTTGCAAGTATAATGCAGATTTAACAGACAATCTACATATGAGAAAAGTCTAAATGCATAATGTATTCCTATTTATGAGCTGAAAACTGAAAGTCTGTTTCTGTGCTCTGGAATTATCCATTCTGCAAGCTTGGCCTGGCAATGAGTTTATTCAGAGTGCTATGAAGATGTTCTCTCATGACTCCTGAAAGGAGTACTATAGAATCAGCCTTTAATTTTTTACTTATGGTATGAAGTCAACTTGAGGGGTGTGTGTGTGTGTGTGTGTGTGTGTGTGTGTGTGTGTTCAGATGACAGAGCATTATTTGTTAAGGAAACCATACTTCTTGCTTGGTGTACCTTTGTCAGAAACACCACTTAAAGCATCATTGAGAGGCTGTTTCTGGATGCTCTGGTCTGCTGTGTCGATCTCTTCAGCAAATCTTACGACAGCCAGTGCTACTCTGTCTTTGATTATAGTGGACCTCAGTCAGAGAGATTTGAGTTCCTGCCTTAGACTCTTTGGGATATTTTAAACTTTTATTTGCTTATTTTTGAAACACTCTTATTTTCAAAAATAGGGATGTGAACATATTATTATAGTCAAAGCTAGCTTTGGACTCCTTGGCCTCTGCTTCCCAGGTTCTGAGATTACACACATGAGTAAGCACATTGCTGTTGTTGTTTGCATGTTCCTGTAATGTTTTAAAACAAATTCCTTGTTCCATAGAAAATAAAAGAAAAACAAAACAGTCTGCCATGCATCGTGGCTCATCCTTTAATCCTAGTACTCAGGAGGCAGATCTCTGTGATTTCTAAGGTAGCCTGGTCTACATAGGGAGTTCCCAGCCAGTCAGTATTACATCAACAATCAAAGCAAAACCAAACAACCTATTAACTTTAACAAAGGAGACACTGAATCCCCGAAACTGTCACTAAGGAGAACTGATATCTTAGAAATATTAAGTTGCAGAATCCTTTAACCTGATTTACCTCTTTCTATTTCCCTGGGTCATCATTAATTTGACTCTTTAATGCTTTGTAGTACTCATTGTAGAATCTTGTACATTTGAAATATTGATTCCCCGGACTGGAAAGATAGCTCAGAGGTTATGAGTACTTGCTGCTTTTGTAGAGGACCCCTTTGGTTCCAGCACTCAAGTTAGTCAGTTCACAAACACCTGCAACTCTAGCTCCAGGGGATCCAGTGCTCTCTTCAGGTATCTAAGGGCACGTGAACATTTGTGGTACATATACAGACCTATAAGCACACACACACACACACACACAAAGTATTTTCTAAAGAGATGAAAACCAAACTGGAGATGAGAGAAATACACACAGACAAGTACAAACACATATGTATTTAGAAAAAGAGTTTTTTCTAAACTATGTAGTTTCTACAATTCAAAAATAAAAAACATGAACAAAATATATTTGCTTCCTATAAATACTATCTGAGGGTGTATAGATACATGGGAAGATCCAAGGTAACACTAGCTAGTGGGTGAACTCTTCTCAATCACTGGTATTACTTCCAGGCAAAAGTCATCATTGGACTGGCCTTTGACTGTGTGGACAAGGTAGTTTACTGGACAGACATCAGCGAGCCTTCCATTGGGAGAGCCAGCCTACATGGCGGAGAGCCAACCACCATCATTCGACAAGGTGAGCCAGCAAATATTTTCCCTTTAGGGGCTGCTTTTAGCAGAACACACCGCTCTTGGCAGGAGGTGAAGGATGGACAGTAAGCTGTTCAGTTTGTAAGGGGCCAGGTGGGTCTTCTGCCTCTGCACTCTACCCTTTTCAGCTCCCCTGAAGTGTTCCACAGGTCACCTGAGTCATTAAATCAGGGACATTCTGGCTGAGGTTAGCTGCTTGTCTCAGGGTAATAAAACTGAAACAAGACAGGTGCCTGTGCCTTTTTCTGGAAGCTGACATGGTCCATCTTTGTTCGTTCCATTTCTTCGTAGCTTCTGAGCCTGCAATTACTTCTGGTAGTGTCTGTTCTACCGTGTGCTCCATGAGGGTTTTTTATCAAAGGCAGTGGATGGAAGGAATAGTCAAGAAACACACAAGCATACTGATAGATACTCACCCAGAAGTTGAAGACTATTTGATTTTTGAGAGAGCATCTCTGTAACCCAGGTTCCCCTCAAAGTCATTAAGTAGCTGAGGATGACCTTGAACTCATGATCATCCTGCCTTTACCTCCCAAGTGTAGGCTTATATGCCTGCACAACCACTCAGCTTGATTATTTATTCATTTACTTACTTACTTACATCTTCTGTCTACCATTCTCCCAACTGAACAATTTTGGCTACTATTTATTTATTTTAACCCCATATTCAGCAGCCTTGGCTATTCTAGAAGTCCTGCTTCTCTTCTTGCCTCTTCCCTTGTACTGGGTTACACTGTTTATCACCACAGCCCGCTCTGAAAGTAGAGTCTATTCCCAAGGCTGTGTTGGAGTCAAAGAGCTGTTATTTCAATGTAAGGCATCTTGAGATCTTCCCTGACTCAACCTTTCCTCTCCCTCATTCTAACCTGGAGTCCAACTAGCTGGGAGCACCTCTCACAGAGAACTTATGATAAAGTGTGGGTTGTTGTTGACACAGCTTAACTTCAACATTTAACCTCATGTAGGTAGATGCCTTCTTGAACAAAGACTTATACATCATTTTAATACCTTCATTCAATAAATAAAGGGTAGCAAGGCCCACTGCTTAATTGTGTCGTCCTAGCTATTTGAGAGGCTGAGGCAAAAGGATCACAAATTCAAGGTCTTCCTGAGTTACAGAATGAGCTCCAGGTCAGCCTGGGCAAACTTGTAAGACCCTGTCTCAAAATGAAAAGTTACACGAGGGTTGGGGAATATAGCTCAGGGCTAGAGCATTTGCCTAGCATGTGTGAGGTCCTGGGTTCAATTATCTGTTTGTTTAAATCTATTTCACATGAGTATGTTTAATGAGTCTACCAAAAACTCCAGGATCTGTGAAAGGTCCCTATACCGAAATGGTCAAGGAACTTGAGCTGCTTCAATCATGACTCATTGGTTTGGGGAATATTTTTGCTCAGAAGACATTGTCATGCTGCCATTAGCTGTATGAAGTCCTCTGCTTCCTCAGCAAAAATATTCAGGTGGAAAATACACCTTTGAAATATAAGCCTTGTTTTGTATTTCTTTTAACTCGGAAGCCAAATGCAGCCTTTCAACTTCTAACTCAGCACACCTCTTACATTAATATTCTGTAAGGATCCACCCCATGGCCAGTTCCCTTCTTCCTCATTTCCTTCCTTAGAGATAACACAGCAGGAATCAAGCTGAGGCTGAGTGAAACAGCCCTGACTTTGCACTTGGCTCTCGAATCCTTTTCTGGAAGCTGACAGGGTATTTAGATGATATTGGTTAGTTTTCATGCTCTGGCTTAATGAAGGAACTTTGAAAATGCTTTTCTGCCTCATCATTGAAAATGTTGCTGTTATCTGAAATATGATTTCAAAACCTAGTGGAAGAGGGTAATAGGTCACTGTCTGCTATTTCCTGTTGCTTTTGGCACCTGGAATCAGCCCAGGGACCCTTAAGCGTAGTGAGAGCTGCAAGAAAGACTAAAATTGACTAACTGTGAAGCACACAGAATTAATCAAAAATGTGATCTTGACTGAGTTTTCTTTTCACACAGCAGTAAGGAAAATCTGTCCCCTTGCCATCTCCTTTTCCTCAACACAGTTAGGGATGTTTCCCCAGCCCATTTCTATGCAAACTGTGGCCCACAGAGCCGTATTTTCTTGGTTGGAAGGAGAAATGGCTCAGTGGCTCTTGAGATCAGGACCAGGATTGTGTAGAAGTTGACAGTGTGACATAAGTTCTTAATAGGCTTTTTTTGGATGCTCTGTGAAGATGCCCTGTGCAGCCCCTCTCCCTGCAGTACTGAAAGCTGCACAGGGTGATCCCACGAGATGTGCTCATTCTAAGTTTTCCCCAAATTGAGTGGCTGCTAGGGTGCGCCTGTGTGTGTGTGTGTGTGTGTGTGTGTGTGTGTGTGTGTGTGTGTGTGTTCTGTTTCAAAGCCACAGGAAGCCCCTGGGAGGCAATTTCATTGTTCCTGGTCCTCTTACAGTGTGGGAAAGAGCTTAGGACTTTATACAGCTCTTCTTAGGGCATGAATAATAAACCATATGTTAATCATTTGTGGTTCTAAATCACTGTCCTCTGGTTGGACTCCTGTCAGAGGCTTGTGTGTGTATGAGTGGGTGGTGAGTGCACACACATGTGCATGCCAGTATCAGGTGATTCCCATTATCAGTCTTCACCTTTTTTCTTTGGAGATGGGGTCTCTTACTGAACCTGGAGCTCATCAATTAATTAGGCTAGTCTGGAGGCCAGCAAACCCCAGAGATTCTTTTGGGTTTTGCCTGCCCAGTGCTGGGATTACAGGTAGTTTTACCACACCTAACATTGATATGGGTGCTAGGAATTGAGCTTAGGTCTGCGTGCTTCACAGTAAATACTTAATGGATGGAGCTGGCTCCTGAGCCCCACAGAAACTTTGCTGTTCTCACAGCATGTTTATTCTAGGAGGGGCTGAGGTGTGAGGTTGACCTGCTTGCATATGGGTGAGAGTGTGCAGGGATGATATTCTCAAATGCCACATGCCTTGGGCAGTGCAACCCAGTGGGTTATTTTCCTATTCACACTCCAGCCAAGCTAAATGACCTTCAGTCCTCCTCTGCCTAGAACAGGGAAGAATCTCAAGAATGCCAGTGAATCCTACAACGTCATTTCCTATTTTTAACTCAACAGTGACTTACATGGGGTATTTGTTTCACAGTGCCAACCTATGTCTTGATTGCTATTGTTTTTGTTTAGTGAAGATTGTGAGGAGTGTAATTGTAATTATCAAACACCTTTTTACCCTTTACACTCATATTCAAGTACTAACAGTGTGGTCAGCAATATTATTTCCTGAAATGCCTCCCTGCCCTGTAATTACCAAGTAATAAAATCTACCATTCCATCTTCACTTAGGATTTCATGTATCCTGTTCCATCTGTGAGATACACTCTGAATTCCCCACCCCCATCCTCTTTTCCAGAGGGCTTCTCCCTTACTCTCAAGCACTCGGCTCCATAAAATTACTAGCAGTTCACTTCAAGCCACTTATAGTCTTCTTTACATCTGGAAACACTTATTCAAGATCCTTGTCTGATAAACTCCCATTGGTCCTTCAGGAACCAGCTTTTACAGATGCCCTCTTCTCCAGAACCCTTCCCTGGTGAACTCATGCTGATCCTGAATCTATAGCTGCTCATAGAAACTAGATTTCAGTTTGAATGGTGGTTGGCTGTGGGCTTCTTAATAGACGGGACTGCATCTTTGTCACAGTGACCTTCCAGGTTCCCAGTGTGGTACTCACTGGATGGGTGAGGATGAATGGCTAGCATTTTTTAATTTGTCACATGGAAAATTGCTCATCGTATAAACAGTAAGAATTTCATATTCCCATTTGGTTTCTCAAGGTATGACCACCATGTCTAAGACAACTGAATAGCCAGAGAACTCGTGGACTAGGGTATGACTGAATGTTTCCTTCTAGATCTTGGAAGCCCTGAAGGCATTGCCCTTGACCATCTCAGCCGAAACATCTTCTGGACAGACTCTCAGCTGGATCGCATAGAAGTTGCAAAGATGGATGGCACACAGCGTCGAGTGCTGTTTGACACGGGTTTGGTGAACCCCAGAGGCATTGTGACAGACTCCATAGGAGGGTATGTGTGCATACATACATGCATTGGTCTCTTCTTATGGTCTCTGGCTTGTTTTGGATGGTCTCAGAGGAAGTTCTAATGTCAGCGTTGCTCTCCCGAGATCTTTCATCCATGCAAGATGGAGCCGAGTCTTCAAGCTGATGTTATAGGGGCACAGTTACCACAAGGTGGACTTCATGCCATGCTCCAGTTGCACAGTTTTGTCAAGAGTCTTTGTAGGGTGACAGCTCAGAAAGCGAGTAATTTCTATATAGTGAATGTGAACTGACACTCCAACTCATGAATGCTGTGAAAATGTTGGGTTGGCCTAAGCATGCCCCTGGCACTCCTTGTTGGAGCAGATGTGGCTTGTGCATCCTAGAGTCCCCTTCTTGAGGGACTCTTTAGCCCATTGTGGCTTTCTCTCTTTTCACCCTATGGCAAGTTCTCAGTGTTTCACCCCAGGCCCCAGCTCCTACACATTCTGATACTTTCCCTTGGAGAAAACACGGGACTATGGCGACTCAGCTACCTCACATATGGCAGACACCTCTATCACTACCTTGCTGGTATCTACATCTTGCTGTAATCAAACCACATTGCTCCACTGTGGCCTCCTTCATAGGTTTATTATTTGGGGAATTACTGTGTCAGGTCCAGAGTTTATGTGTGTGCATGTGTGTTTGGTAACAAAGTTTGGTAACAAACTTTGTATATCATTCTTCAGGTGGTGTCCACCATTTTGTATCCTGAACAAGGTCTCTAACTAGCCCGTCCCTCCCCAAGTAGAGCAGACTGGCTATCCAGAGAGACCCAGTGGCCCACCTGCCTCCTCCCCATCACTGGGATCACAAGCCTCAGTCACCTCTCTTGGCTTTTTTTTTTTTTTTTCCTGCTGTGGTGCTGGGGATTGAACACTCTTTACCCACTAAGCAACCCCTTCTTTCCTCTGGACCTCCAAGTTTTGTTTTCTTGCTAACTTTTCCAAGATACTATAAAGGAAATAGAATTTGCTAGTAGCAGATAACCCAATTTGAACAAAGAATCCACCTTAGCTTCTCAGGGACTCACTTAGCTATGTTGTTTGCTGAGCTCTTCCCCCTGGTTCTCTAAAAATATTTTCAGGATTTCACTTCCTCTTTCTTCCCTGTTTCCTCTTCAGGAACCTTTATTGGACAGATTGGAACAGAGATAATCCCAAAATTGAGACTTCTTACATGGATGGTACCAACCGGAGGATTCTCGCACATGACAACCTGGGCCTGCCCAATGGCCTGACCTTTGATGCATTCTCATCTCAGCTCTGCTGGGTGGATGCAGGTAACGGGAAGCTTGAGATAGTAGTATATAGTTCTTCATTTTCTTACTCTTCTTGCCCCAGAGTTGGCAAATCTCATCCACTGCCTGTTTCTATATAGCGAACAAGCTCAGAATTATTTTTATATTGTTAATGTTGCCATTTTAAGTGTTGTTATAAACACCTGGTATCATCCTTGGTTTTACCTTTTGGCCTGCAGAACTTAAAATAATTGCTATATGGCTCTATTTTTTTTTTTTTAATATGCTGTCTCTTATTTTGGTGGGAGGTTACTGAGGACTGAATTCAGGGTCCTGTGTATGCTATATCTCTAGAAATAATAGAGAATCCTGCATTCCTGAGGTGGTCCTGCCTCACCTGTGCAGGGTGTCCCTCAGGTTTGAGATGAGATGTGGGAGAGATGCTTATCTAGGAGGTGCATCCTTCATCTCTCCCTGTGAAAGTCTGTAGTTGAGTATCTTCTCAGACCCACAACTAATTAGGACAAAGAGTGCGGTGTGAACACTTACATGCTTGTGCAAGCCCATGACAGCCATCCTGCAGGCGTTAGCGGCAGGCCAGTCACCGCCGCTGATCTGTTGCAGTTCTTCAGTGTCCCAAATCTTGGAAGGAAGAAAGAGTATGAAGAGGTTTAGGGGGAGGGACTTGAGCAAAAGCCAGAAAATAGTGGGTTCCGACTGAGACAAAGGGCTGGGAAGGCCAGGGCAGGCTGTGGCTTCTCTGCCCTGGCTCACATCTCCTCAGTAGGGCCAGGTGTGGGTGCTGGAACTCAGGTGGGTGTAGGTCGATGAAAGGGAAAAGACAGGAGGCAGAATCAGAACGTCAATGCTGAAGGGCCGGCCTTCTGTGTTGCCCAGGACATGTCATTGCAGTGCTGGCCTCCCCCCCTTGTCTTTCAGACTCTTGTTTTCTGACACAAAGGGCCCATTTCTTGAATGAACAATGACTAAATTGTGTTTGCTGCACACAGGCACCCATAGAGCAGAATGCCTGAACCCGGCTCAGCCCACCAGACGTAAGGTTCTCGAAGGCCTCCAGTACCCTTTCGCTGTGACGAGCTATGGGAAGAATTTGTACTACACAGATTGGAAGACGTATGTAGGCTGTTGTCACATGGGCTGGGCAGAAATGTGTCATTCCCTTTGTCTGCAGAGGCCTTTGCCTCTGGCCTCTTGTGCTAACCTTTGACCTCCAGTGATGCCTGCTTCCTCCCTCTTCCTGGCTGTTAGGAGATATGGAAGAAGGTAGAGGAAGAGGGCTGGCAAATCTCAGAGAGGAGCAGAGGTGCCATTAATGATACCTGAGGCCTGGGACTTCCTGAGCATGTCCATCCGAAACCCGGGAACCACCTGGGGTCAAATGGCTGGTGGTCTCCATGATTATAGCATACCTCTACATCAATGTAGTTTTTAAACTGCAGTATTCCCACAGCTGGTTCTGACCAAACCTTCCTATGAAGGGAGGGTCACATCGAAGTGGTGGCTGGCCAGGAGAGCCTAGAATTTAGAGCAGAGGGGAGAGCTAGGTTATTTTGGCCCTTATTGTGAAAAGGCAATGAACTACAGGCTTGGCTGGCCCAGCCCGAGGGGAAGAAAGTATATACAAAGAGCAAGACACCATGCCTTTTTCTCTTCCAAGCCATAGAAGAGGCCGCCAAGCCCACTGAGAATAGTTCAAGTCATCAGATGCATGTTCACTCTGTGCTTTGGTGCTTTTCAGGAATTCGGTGATTGCCATGGACCTTGCTATATCCAAAGAGATGGATACCTTCCACCCCCACAAGCAGACCCGGCTATATGGCATCACCATTGCCCTGTCCCAGTGCCCCCAAGGTAACTAACTCATCCTTGCTGCTGAATGTGGGTCAACACTAAGAGTCCCTGAGAGTATCACGGTGGTTTAAATGCACCCCTGGCCTCCTTCCTGTAGGAAGCCCAGTTTGAGCATCCTGGATATCTCTTCCTGAAGGATTCTTCAATCCATCATGCTTTTTCCTGTATCAGGAGGGTGTCCTGAGGCTCAGAACCTATATGCTGCTGCTAGAAGCCACAGTGGATGAGATGTGGTCACTTCTACCAAGAGTGTTCATTACTAAATGGGGAGACATAAATGAGAAGCATGAAGCTATGGCATGAATGTGGTCATGAAACATCTTGAGTCTTGGGCTGAGTCTTTAAGTGTACAGTCTTCAGGTGCCAAAAAGTAACTCACTGTTGAGTCACTGATATTCTTAAACATTCACCTATTTGGTCTAATAAAAATGAAAGACTGAAAGTTACTTAAAATAAAAATGTCAGGGCTGGAAAGATGGCTCAGCAACTAAAGTGTATGCCTTGCAGGCGTAAGGACCTGAGTTCAATCCCCAGAACATACATAAAAACAAGCTGGGCCCAGTGACATGTTATTACAACAGTGGGGAGGCAAAAGACAATTGGATCCTTGGGGCTCACTAGCTAGCCAGCCTGCCTATTGGAAAATTCCAGGCCAATGAGAGGATTCTGTCCCAAAAGAAAAGAGACAATGCCAACTGAGGTTGTCCTCTAACCTCTACATGCCCGCACGCATGCATACACACACACACACACACACACACACACACACACACACACACACACACACACACACCCCTACATACACATAGGTAAAGCTCCAAATATACGATGCTTCCTGTGGTCTAGGTATCTGATATATTTCATGTCACAGTTCTGAGTTCCTTCTCTTCATTAGTTCATTTAAGTTGCCTTGTGTGGTTATACTGTTATTCCCCTGTCATGCATGAGGAAATACAAGCAGCGAGCTCAATCATGCAGCTACAGCAGCAGAGTGGCAGGTGGATCTTGATGGCCTGGATCCAGAGTCTGTTGAGCTGTAGCTCCTCTCAAAGGCTTCTTTCCTAAGCCATCTTCCTTCTTGCCTGCTCCCAGTCAGTGTGAGGCCATGGGTGTGTGAGATGGGAAATATCTATTTAGTTTCAGCTCCGTGTTGGAGCTGTGTACTATGCTTTCTCTTTTTGGGCCACCAGCCAGCTCCCAAATCATGACACAGAGACTTCTTATTAGTTATGAACGCTTGGCCTAGCTTAGGCTTGCTTTTGGCTAGCTCTTTTAACTTAAATTAACTTGTTTCTCATTATCTACCTTTTGCCCCAGTGCCTTTTACCTTTTGTTTTTTCTTCTGTAGATCTTACTTTCCCTGCTTCTCATGGCTGGCTGGCTGGCTTCTTGCCCCAGGCATGTCCCCCTCTTTCTCTTCCTTCTCTTCTTTTTCTCTCCAGCCCAGAGTTCTCCTATTTATTCTTGATGCCTGCCAGCCCCACCTATACTTTCTCTGCCTAGCTATTGCCCAGTCAGCGCTTTATTAGCCCAATTAGGTGCCATAGGCAGGCAAGGTGAAACAGCGACACAGTGTTTCATAATGAAACAAAGGCAGCAGAAACAAATGTAACACACCTTTACATAGTTAAATATTCCCCAACATAAATAAGTGTAACACATCTCTACATCCTTAAATATTCCACAACAGAGTTGGAAAGCCTTCCCCTCCCCATGGTCTGTGGAATAGACTGCACAGCCAGCCCCCTTTTCTCAAAGCTGTGACAAAATGCCTGACAAAAGCAACTTAAGGAAGGATGGTTTTATTGTGGCTCATAGCCTCAGGGTAGAGTGGACATGGTGCGGGAGTGTGAGGCGGCTGGTCACATCACACCTGCAGTCAGGAAGCAGAGAGAGGAAGTTGGTGCTTAGCTTGCTTTTTTCGTTTTTTTTTTTTTTTTTTTAATTCAGTGCAGGAACCCAGCCCATGGGTTCCCACATGGGTGTTGCCCACATGTAGGGTGGATTTTTCCCACCTCAATGAACTTATTCTAGAAACTCCAAGCAGACATACGTGGAGGTGTGCTTCTGTTGTGATTCTAAATTCTACCAGGCTGACAATCCACACCAACTGCAACACCTCCAATCAGGACCGCATGTTCTTCCTGTCTTACGATGAAGAACCAAACAGCAGCTTATCTTGCTCAGTCCCTTGAACCTACAGGGAGGTTAACAGGGAGGCTGCTGTTGATATCAAGTCAGTCAAAAAGGAGACTATGATGCTGATTTCCATCTTTTCCAGGCCACAACTACTGCTCAGTGAATAATGGTGGCTGTACCCACCTCTGCTTGCCCACTCCAGGGAGCAGAACCTGCCGATGTCCCGACAACACCCTGGGAGTTGACTGCATTGAACGGAAATGATGACAAGAATGCCTTACTCCCTCTCCAAGTATTTCACAGTAACACCCTACTTGAAATGACTTGATCTGGAAAAAAAAAAAAAAAAGACTGACTGAAAATTGTCCTGCAATGGAGTGACCACTAGGCCCAGGTCTAGCCTCGCCTGAGCCCTCACAACTTCCCCTCAGCCTTCCCTAAAACAGTCACCCTGAGCTCAGTAATAGGAAAGTCTCTACCCCAACATGAGGGTGGGACCCCCCACATACTTCCTGACACCAGTCTTCAGACAAGATTATAGAGTTCTGTATAAAAAAACAAGTCAAAGTAGTGGTGCATGCCTGTAACCCTAGCACTTGGGAAGTGGAGGCAGGAAGATCCAGGGTTCAAGTTAAGATTACATGATACCCTGTCTCAGAAAACAACCAGGATGAGAATCATGTGTTTATTCCAGAGCTATAGGACCTTTTCCTAATCTTAGGCTCCTCCATGGTAAGCAGACCCCCCCCCACTCCTCCATTCCACCCCCATCTCCACCCCCCCATCCCCGCAGACCTAGTCACAATATCTGTGGCATCACAAGCTCAGCTGTTACTCTGAGGTGCCCGAGAGCTTGCCAGTTTCTCAACATAGCATCCAGGTCCAGCTTAGGTAAGGTTATGAGGCATACTTTTTCTCTTGGTACTCCAATTTCTGCCTTCATGTTCCCACCTAGAACTACTCTCCTACTCTGTACCACCTGTCTAAGACTCTGATTTTAGTGAGCATGATTTACCATGTTATCAAAGCCCAACCGTATCCTAGGAATTAATGGTATTTGGTGGATGGTAATAAGGAGCCCCTCCCAGATTATAAAATCCTGGTGGTTTCCTGGTGATAGTCAAGTGGGTAAGTCAAAGAAATGTCCTGTGAGAGGAATGTCAAGATGTAGCGTGAGGATAGGGGATTATTATTTTGATGTGTCTGGAATTGTAGCAAATTCTTCCTCTTTGCCAAAGTATCTGTATTAGCATCTGGTCTATCATGCCATGTGAGTCTTTAGCCCCACTCCTGGTACTTATAGTCATCCAGGGCCCAGGTTGGGTTAGTGCTTGAGCAAAGTAGTGGTCCATCATAGTCCTTTAATTTTAGAATTGTATCTTTGTTTCCCCCTCTCTCTATGGCTTTTTCTGGCTGCATGTTCACTCATCTGAAGACCCAATCTGGGAAGATCTAACTGGGTATTTCTACTAATGGTTCAGACCCTTAATTGCCCACTGGTGTAGTTCAAGGGACTGTTCCTGCCTTCCATGTATCTGTCTGTCATTTGTTTCAAAAATGCATATATCTTTTTTTTTTTTTTTCAACTGCTCCCAAGATAATTAAAGCAATAGATATTTTGGATTGAAGGTCAAACATCAGAAGTTCTGTTCAGCACAGTGTAGGGTAAGGGCATAGACAAGACTCAGTGGGAATATGGATGGAGAACAGGAATGGAAAACTTAAGAGGAAATTGTGGGAAGGGGTTTAAAGGCAGCTAAAACTAAAACCCTTAAATAACGTCAGAGAACAATGTGCCATTTTTTCAAAAGAATGCTAATTATTGAAGACATAGAGGACTTTGCCTGATGCTTTTCTTGGGGCACAGAGGCCCCCTACCTCCTTTTCTTCTAGCTTCATCACACTCAGCCTCCAATCCCATCTCCTCCTACCTCCATCTCAACCTGCTTACATAGGACTGGGAACCTGAATTGGGAAGGAGTCTTTACTTAAACAATTGGAATTTGTATCACAAGATTTAGGGATCATGCGAATCTTCTGTGCAGCCTCGTAAGGAGGTCTCAGATGTTTTTTAGTCATTTTTTTATGAAGCCCTCTCATGTTCCTCATGACACCCACCTTTTATAACCTTTATTCATTGTACTAGCTTCCTTCTAAAATGTTTTACACGGTGAATTCTTCAACTATGGAAACCACTGAAGGTGCTTATTAACGGTTCTCCAGAAGTACACAAGTATTGGATGGTTCCTTGAGTTTACAACTGTACAAATATTAGTGCTGAGAATTAAAAATAAACTGTTAAAAATAAAACCTTATTTTGTTTTGTTTTTGCTGTTTTGTTCCATGATGACAGGGTGTTGCTGTGTGAGGCCTAGACTTGAGCTCCGACTCTCAGTCCTCCTGCCTCAGATCTTGGAATCAAAGGCATATGCTACCACAGTGTAACATTGCAGTCAGTTCATAATGGAGAAACAGACCATTTAATAGTTAGCAAAACCTCGGGGACCCAAGACTTACCTGACAAGTCACATGGTTTACAGACGACAAAGGCTGACGAATGGCTTTAAAATTAATTACATCACAGACTCTAAATTACCCTTATAGGCGTTTTTTTTCTTTTTTGTTTCTTTTTGTCTATTTATCTCCTCCCCACCCTTAACCCTTTTACAAGAACTCACATACCAGATGAGCCTCTAATTTCCAATGTATCTAAGAATGACTTTGAACTTCTGATCTTTCTGCCTCTGTTTCCTGAGTGTTGCAAACACAAGCATGAAGCTAGCCAGTACTATATAACAAGGCCCTGTCTCAAAACATCACAACAGCAGGTAGATTGCTGTTCAGATAAACTTAAAACTGGGTTAGAATTCAGGATTATCCAGGTTTACTGTGATCAGCCCTCAAGACAGAAGAATCAAAGAAAATGGGCTGGGGATGTAGGGAGGAGCTTGGGTGCCCGGGGCTGGAGGGCTGGAAGTGATTATAGCTTTTCTATTTAAGAGTGGCCTGGAGCCCTTGCCCTGTTGACTTGGAACTTACTCCTCAGTTGCTGGTCACCTCTCTCTGGTCACCTCTCTCTCTTTCTCCCCCCTCTTGGTTTTTTGTTTGTTTGTTTTAAGACAGGATCTCTTAGAGACCCAAAACTCATCACATGGGCTAGGCTGGTTGGCCAGTGATCCCCAAGGAGCCTCAAGGATCTTCCAAGCACTAGGATTACAAACACGTGCTACTATGTCAAAGCTTTTGGCAATAGAACTCTGTTCTGCTTGCTTCGTTTTGTGTTGGTGATGTCAGCTTACTAGCATTTATTAAGCCCTGGATTTGAGTCTTAACTCTGAATAAAACTAAGAGTGATGCCTGTATGAGGCAGGAGGATCAGAAGTTCAAGGTCAGTCTAGGCTACATGAGACCCAGACACTGGGAAATCCATCCTCTGTCTTTTGTTTGTTTGTTTCTAATTTATTTTTAAAATATCCTATGGTTTTGCACATGCAAAGTAACCACTCTACAGGGGTGGAACTACACCCCTGGCCCTGCATCCATTCTTTTTTTTTTTTTTTCCATTAAAACCAAAAAAACCATTTTTTTTTCCATTTAAAAAAGTTTTAGGACACATAAAACAAGGCAACATTTATTCTTTCTTGTTGTCTTCGGGCATGGGGTCTGAGGGTGGCTCCTCTACCGTTGCGCTGTTGCTCTCTGAGCCAGAGTTGCTATCACTGGTCCCTTCTACCTCCGTGCTGTCCACCCGCTCCTGCCCACTCTCCTTGTCCTCAGGAGTAGACCTGCCTTCTTCCCCATTCTGTTGGCTCTCTGTTGTTTCTTCCAGGTGTATCTCCTCTGTCCCCATAGGGATGCTCTCCTCATCCTTCTTCTCCTCGGCTTTGTTAGCCACTTGCTCTTCCTCAGGGGCGATGCTGCCCTGACTGCGCTCGGCTTGCTCTGCTGCCTCCTTCTCCCTCTCCTCTTGCCTTTTGCGGGCCTGTTCTTCAGCTTGTGCAATTTCAGCTGCAATTTTCTCCATGTCTACTTCTACCTTCAGAGTGCATAACCTTTTAAGTTCATTGTTAAAGGAATCCGTGCTTTCCAGAAATTTCCTCTTCTTTTCCTGGTGTCGTTCCTCTATCTGAAGAAGTTCGGCTTCTAGTTTTTGCTGATGAACCATTAACGACTGGACCTGTCTCTTGAGGACCTGCATTCTAGCACATCAGGTACTACACTCTCACTGAGGATCTCACTGATGAGGTGGTAGTTTCTCTGGAAACGGGCGGTGGCTGTATGCTTCATCAAAAAGCCATCATCATAATCATCTGGATCCTCAGCAGGCTGAATGCTCATATAAGGTTCTCCTTTCTCCATGCGAGACTGTCTCTGTCGACTTTCTTCCTCTAATGCAGCTTCTGCATGACTTTTTGCATTAATATATGCAAGGTATGCAGGGGGATTATGATAGGCCTTCACAGATTCATTGTACTCTATCTTTTCTGCTTCGTATTCATTTAAATATTCTTGTTTCTCTTCATCAGTGAGATCTCGCCATGTGCCACCAATAATCTTGCCAATTTCCCTCAACTTTAGGTCAGGGTTGGAAGCCTTTACTTGGTCCCAGACCTTTCTGCTGTACCTCATGTAGGGCATCAGCGGCTTATTGGTGGCTTTGGAGGCTTTGGAATCGTAATACCAGAGGATGCCGTGACCCGGCTGTTGGTGCCTGGGTTCTCTCCCAGCCTGTAGTTGTTGTAGGCGAGATGACTGTATGGGTTGTATCCCACAAACCCTGGTGTGCTGGGCATTTGTGTTGCAGGAGCTGGGTGGGAAGTGGGGCATAAGATGGACTTTTTGACATTTTGGAAGATTAAGTTCTCAGTTCCTTAAGAATGATTCCGCGGGCCAAAAAGGCCCCTGCATCCATTCTTTTAGAGGCTACTTGAATAAACCAATCTGAAGAGTACAGTTCTGAAGAGCAGGTTAGGATCCTTCTGATGACAAAGTGCCTCCGTCCATTTTCTATTTTACCAGGATGTGGAACCCAAAGGCTGCAGCCAAAATCTTAGAGGCCCCAGCAACAGATCAGGACTCCTACATATGGTCTTTTTGGTCCTTGTTAAGATGGCACAGAAATCAAGCCATGGAAGGGCCAGAAAGCTCAAGTACTCTGAGAATGGATTCCTGAACACATGGTGGGCACTGGTGAGCTTAGAGGGTCACCCAGCCTACCTTCAACCTAGCCACTCAGCTTTAACTCAGTGGTTTTCAACCTATGTGCAGTGTGACCCCCTTGGGAGTCTCATATCAGATATTTACATTGTGATTTATAATAGTAGCAAAGTTACTGTTATGAAGTAGCAACAAAGTAATTTTACGGTCAGGGCTCATCACAACCTGAGGAATTGTATGAAAGTGCGAAAGCATTAAGAAGGGTTGAGAACCACTAGTTCTAGCTGGTTTGCAGAGGCAGTTCCAAATAGGACCACAAGAGGGCGGCCAAAGCCACTGAATGAATGAGGTGTCTCCTGATGACCCTAATTTCTGTTAATCAACCTCCCAAAGTCCTAACCTGTAAACATCAAGGTGGAGTTGTTTTGAAACTGCTTCATGCCTCACAGTGGGGAGTTAAACTCCAAAATGAGTTTAGGAGGGATAAACTACATTCAAACCACAACAGGTAAAAATGGTCCTCAAAGCAGATCTACCCCCCTCTACTATCCCTTCCCCTCTGTGGAAAAATCACCTTTAACAGTGAACATGAATTTGAATGGAGTTTTCTAGAGACAAAATAGCTTGGCTTGTATGAGTACAAGAACCTTGGGGTACTGGTACTAGATACCCACATTAGCATCTTGTAAATACAACCTGTCCTTTAAAGTAGTACAACTGGATCAACACCCAGGAAGAAAAACAGGTTGTAGGTCCTGAGTGCACCCAGGTGTCATTTATTTTCTTGTGGTCTTAGGGATTGAACCTGAGGCCTTGTGCATGCTAGACAAGCACTCTACCACTGAGCTACATTCCTACCTCGGGGTCTTGATGTTCTTAGTATTATATAGGACTGTTATTTGATGATGAGCTAACGGGGAGGGGAGGTTGATTATAAAGACTGTTCAGGTCTTAGAAATTTCTAATGTTCTTCTGGTTGCTTTTATTGAACAAAATGAAGAAGCTCTATCTTTTGTTGGGACCACCTGGCTCCTTCTCCTAGCCAGTTTCCTCTTTTGTGATCAATATGATAGTAGCTCCCAGCTATAGGACAGTCCAGATTTCCTTATGAAAATGAGGTTCAAAGAGCTGCACTACAACCCTTGGTGCACTGCATCCCCTGGGCCACTGTATCCACTGGGCCACTGCATTCCCTGGGACAGGACACTACATCCCCTGGACCACTGTATCCCCTGGGGCACTGCATCCCCGGGGGCACTGTATCCCCTGGGGCACTGCATCCCCGGGGGCACTGTATCCCCTGGGTCACTGCATTCCCTGGGACAGGACACTACATCCCCTGGACCACTGTATCCCCTGGGGCACTGCATCCCCTGGGGCATAGTATCCCCTGGGGCATAGTATCCCCTGGGCCACTGCATCCCCTGGACCACTGTATCCCCTGGGGCACTGTATCCCCTGGGCCACTGTATCCCCTGGGCCACTGTATCCCCTGGGCCACTGCATCCCCTGGGGCATAGTATCCCCTGGGCCACTGCATCCCCGGGGGCACTGTATCCCCTGGGCCACTGCATCCCCAGGGCACTGTATCCCCTGGGCCACTGCATCCCCTGGACCACTGTACCCTTTGGGCCACTGCACCCCCTGGGGCAGGGTCCTGTAGTGAGGAGGTAGGAGGACACTGTGGGGATGTGTGTACCTTCTCAAAGCCAGAAATTGCTGGAGACAGTGTGGTTAAACTTTACAAATCTGTATGAATCTTGTGTTCAACTCCATATAGTAATTAATTAAGTTAACTTTATTTAGAATAAGATCTCATGTAGACCAGCCTAACCTGGAACTCCCTGTTTAATTTAGTTGATCCTCCTGTTTCTACTTCCCAAGTGCTGGGATTACAGGTTTGGGCCAACAGATCAGCTTCATAATATATTAAATGTATAACATTTTTTTTTATTTTTTAAGATTTAATTTTAATTGTGTATGTGTTTATATCTGTATACATGTATGTAGTACTCACAGAAGCTAGAAGGGGGTGTAAGATCCCCTGGAGCTGGAGTTACAGGCAGTTGTGAACCTACCAACATCAGTGCTGGGAGCTAGATTCTCATCCTCCAGAAGGGCCCTAAGTTCACTTAACCACCGAACCATCTCTCCCACT